ATACTCCCTCCGTCCCAGATACCGTGTCTGCTACACTGTAGACACGGTATTTTTAGGAGGGGCGTAATTAGTAGATAATTAAGAATGTATTAATGAAAATAATTATCCTATAATATAAATAATTATAAATTAAGATTAAGATAACTGATTAGTTTAATTAAAATTAAAAAAAAATTAAATTAAAAAATTTAAAATGAGATTAAAGTGTGTAATCATTTTCTAAAAAAAGAAAGTGACATGGTATGTGTGACGGACAGAAACGGCAACGTGGATATGGTATCTGGGACGGAGAGAGTATTATAATCGGGTTGTCGTGTGGGGTTCGAGTTGAGAGCCTCATCTCTAACCCGATCCATTTAATACCATGTTGGGTTTGTGTCAACCTGTATACATAATCGGGTTAAAATTTTTTACCCAAACCCAATTATTTTGTGTCGAATTATCGTGTCAAGTCAGTTTTTGTGAGCTCTAATTAATATTGAGATTGTTGATTTAAAATTAAATAAAAAATAGTAATAGAAATAGTTAGTGTGCGCTGAATAAATAAACCCAATGTGCTAATTCAATAATTTGGTTCATGCTTTATGGATTAATATATATAAAATAGACTCAGAATATTCGTTACTTTTACATATGAACATATTATCTATAATATAGCTTCAAATATTCAAGACTTATAGAGTATCTACGGAATGGATTCGGACATTCTGTACTTGTTAAATATAAAAAAGATTCGGAATTTCTGATACCGATAAAAAAATAAATTAATTAATACTATTTAAATGATTTGATAATAATATTGAAAGTGTTTTCGAGGTTATTTACTAAATTAATCTTGTAGTGAACAGCCCCGATGCAATGGTTTAATTTCCAAATTGCTTGATCGGTGTCCGGGAAAAATATAGTATGTTCTAATGCATTTTAGCAATTATACTACATTTGGTAAGTACAAACACAATTTAAAAGATAAAAGTAATTGTTCCATTTTGAATTATTTTAGTTCAACAGAAGTAAAAAAGACTTAAAAATATATGAAAAAAAAATCACGCACACACATTAGTTGATAATAATAACATAATTAATTATAATTGCATTTAGTACTTATCTATCACTACAAAAAAAATCAATTATTTGTAGCGGTTATATTCTTCGTAACAATAGATCCGTAACAAAAAATGGTTTGTGTTACACTTTTTGTCGGAACAAATTTTTTTTTTGTATTACTCAACATTTTTCTTATTTGTTTCGATGAATTATCCGTAACAACTACAAATATGACGATATATGGTCTTTTATATATTTATTAAGTATGTCAAACACTAACCAGAAGTCAATATTATAATTATAAATAAAAATTTTAAAAATCTATATAAAATAATTTATAAAAATTTAAAAAATAATAAGATTTAAAAAGCGTAGTAACACTTAATTCCATTTTTCCCAAATTCCTAATCGACTCTCTATTCTCACCGCGAACCTCATCGACACTGTACTCCACCCTCTCCTCTACCGTTGCCGGTTGAAGCTTGCGCTTCTCCTAGTTATCAGTGGCGTGAATCTTCCTTTCCGTGATGTTGTTCTCACGATATCGAATAGTGAGTTAAAATCTAAGAATTTTATTATATAACTATGAAAATTGATTTTTACGTTGTTTAGTGTTCTAGGTTCTTGGATAATCTTCTTGTAGAAATTATTTCATATATTTTATGCGTTTGTTTGTAAGTTTGTATTTATAATTTTCTTAGGTAAATAACGAGAATAAATTTGTACTAGTAGATTTTCTTAAATTGAGTCTCATAGTCGAATAATACTCATTTCGTCAATATTCATTTGTAGGATTAAGTTATTGAACAACGAGGTGGTAAACACTAAAAAAAAATAATATATTTGTAACGAAATTCTGTTCCTAAAGTTCACGTAGCTAACGTAATTTCGTCTCTAATATCATTAGCAACGAAAAAAGTGAATTTAGGAACGAAAAAACCTCGTTACAAAATTAATAATTTCTTGTAGTGAGAGATTCACTTGTAACTGTTCGAAAATCAAATATTAGGTAATATATGTGACTGGGTTTCTGAATAGTTGCTCTTGTAATATTTTATCATTCGGTGATTTCATAAATAACATGGGTAAAGTATTTTTTTCAATGTTTTGATAGTTTGTAAAATGTATAAAGTAATAGAAAAATCACGGCTCTTCAATTATCATTCCAAGAGAAGGGATTATACTATGCATTCTAGAAATTATTTATTTTGGTAAAGATCGTTGCTTTTTGTTGGTTTGTGGTGGTGTTTTCCACTTGCTGTCTGCATCGGTCATTATTTTTCTCAACGATTGCATTTTAAACTATATATCAACCTTAACACATTGTTTTACCAAAAAGGCTTGTTCTTTATATTAATATTTGAACTCGTATCAAAAGTGATCTTAAGCCGACGTCTACACTCTTATAACCTAACACATTGTTGTTTCCAAGAAAAGATTAGCTATTTTAATCTTAGCCCACCATTTTAACCAAAAATGACTCTTCAAATTTAATTGAGAAGGGAAGCTTAACATTGATTTTAAGCTTGTAGCACAATAGCAATCTTGGTTTAATTAAATTATATATATTTGCTTGAGTACTTACCAGTAAAATTGAAAAATATTTTTGTATGTATTATGTAATTTTGTGGCACGTGTAAAGTGGAGCTACATCAATTTGTAGAGCAGCAATATATTTTGTATGATTGCCTACTTAAATGAAATTTGAATTTTCCCCGTTCCTAAATTGTTGTTATTGCTGATAAGATCCACATTTCAAATTATAAAACATTTGCTCTTATTGTTGTTCTTTTAGGATATTGAAGTTCCTTGTGATTGGCAAGTATTGGAAAAGATTGATACATTGCAAAAGAAATTTGTATCGGTAGTCGGTAGGGAAAGAACATGACTCAATATCAGCCAAGGTTGTAGTTGGCTGACTTCTTACTAATATTTTTATGTGAACTTGATGATATTATTAATTCAAGTTATGAATTTTTGTTAATCTTATTTCATTATCTAATAAAAGTTAATATTTATATAGTTGGTTGGAAGGAGGAAACACTTGATTTGGCCTTCCAACACTTCGTATCTTTGCTGTCAATATCTCAAACTAAAAATATGCGTTGAAAAAAATTACAAATATTCAATTTTTCTGTAAATTTACAAAAGGAATTGTGCTGGAATTAATTGTTTTTAGTGTCTTACATCAACACTTATTTGATTTATAAAATCGTGTATACACCAAGTGAAAGTAATTAATACATTAGTAGAACATCAGCCATGGTTACTCATGTCTTTAAACATAAATAAATGTATTAGTGCTTAAATGTCATAGTATACTTTTATTGTAGATAAACAAACACCAAATTGATACTCCCTGTCCAATGTATTATGGGTCTATTATCGTAGATACGGGAATTTAGGTAAAGTGTGATTAGTAAGTAATTAAGAAGTATATTAGTAAAAATAATTATCGTATAATAAAAATAATTGTGGATTAAGATTAAGATAACTAAATAGTAATTAAGATTAAAAAAATTATAAAATTTAAAACTTAAAATTTAAAATGAGATTAAAGTGTATAATTATATTTCCAAAAAAAAGAATGGACAAATTATGTGGGACGGACGAAAATAGAAAATATTGACAAATTATGTAGGACAGAGGGAGTAGTATAAAGGAAAATTGATAGTATAAAGGAATGATTGAAAGGGCTAGTTGATTATGGATTTAGCTAGCAAGTGATTTAGTGTTGATTGAGTAATTGATATATTCTCATTGGTATATTCTCAACCCCGTTTTAACTTCTCAAACACTCGGTCCACTTTACCCAAGAGACATGGAAATTTAAAAAAAAATATAATTAATAATTAGTCAAGATGTATTAGTAAAACTAATTATCATAAATAAAATAATTATAAATTAAAATTAAAATAATGTAATAATTTAATTAAAATTAAAAAAAAATTATAAATTATAAAATTTAAAATATAATTAAAATATATAATTATTTTTTAAATTAATAAAATTATATGGGAATAAATATGCCAGAGAGTATTTTTTATTCAACTAATATTCTTTTTTATACTTATTATAAAAAACACTCCATACAAATAAAATAATTTTAAAATTATTAATTTATTTAAAATACATTAATAATATAATTAATGATTATAAATAAATATATAAGTATATAGTTTATTTACATAAAATACTAGTGTTATATTTTTATAAAACCAACCCAATATAATTTAAATATAAAATTATATATAATATTAAATGGTAAACTAATTTTTTTTTTTAGTACTGTAACTAAATTCTTCTAAATTAGAAAAATTTAGAAGTCCTCAATGCCTAACTGGCATCTGCGTGGCAACTTGGCAAACACGTGTCACCAAGATCAACATATCAACGCCACGTGGATAATTTATTTTGCTATATTAAAAATAAAAAATATAATAATATATAAATTATTAAGTCACTTGACGGACATATAGATAATTTTATTTTATTTTATTTATTTTTAATTTTGTAATTTTTTTATATTTAAAAAAAAGTTAAAACTAACAATAATCCACGTGGCGATGATCTGGCCGACAAGTGTCCGTCTTCGCAGATGTCACCTAGGCATTGAAGACTAAATTGAAAAAAATTTCACTCGCGAAACAAGACAGCCTCTTGTGGGACTAAAATGATAAAAATGTGAAAATTACCTGTTTACCTTAACATTAAAAATTAAAAAAAAAAAAAATTAAAACTTTTTGTTGGATAAGACGGTATAAAGATAAAAATTAAAATACAATACAATAGGATTGAGATTTTCTTTTTATCTGACTATAGGATTGAAATTTTGAAGTAACAAGAGAGTCCCAAGTATTAAACAAATTCTTCGTTAAGATTTTAAAATTCAAATTTCATAAAATCCTACCAAGTTGGTGAAAATAAATAAAAAAATAACTATTAAATACAAAAAATAAATAAATAAAACCATTGATATAATTAAAAGCAAAGGGACAAGTGAGTTACACCTGATGGTAAAAGACCTCACCTAGTATTTGGTTTAAACCAACAATGGTTTGACATGGAAATTAAAACACTTAGAAAAGAGAGGTTCCTTTGCCCTTCTTGTCTCCACCGATTTCGAAATGCTTGCATCTCTGCAATACCAAAATAAATACAAAGCTTTGAGTTCAGAAAGGAAATTCTATTCTTTCGGATTGCCTGCCCAATATGAATTACATATTGAAAATCGAACCTTGATTGGGTGCTGGGAAACATGTTTGCAACTTTGACACTGGAGCCTCAGGACGATCTTCTTAGTAGTTTTTGCCTAAACACGAAAATATAATTTCAAAGCAATTCATATCTCCAGATTAGTGACAGCAGAATAGTATTCCAGCAAGCATATAAATTGCTTGAATCATAGAACCTTCCGAGGAAATTCAACTATCAAGATTTGTCTGTCTATACCTTCTTGTGGAAAACGGGCTTTGTCTGCCCACCATAACCTGACTGCTTGCGATCATAGCGACGCTTTCCCTGAGCAGCTAAGCTATCCTTTCCCTTCTTGTACTGGGTGACCTTGTGCAAGGTGTGCTTTTTGCACTCCTTTGATTTGCAGTAAGTCTTTTTTGTCTTTGGTACGTTCACCTACGCACACAAAAATATACTGTAAGAAGGATGCCACAGTGGCCAAAGCATTCGACGCCCAGAATCATCTCAGATATAAGAATATTAACAATCATTGCAGGAAGCGTTAGATTTAATCTTAATTCTTATGTTTATAGAACATAGGAGTTACCGATCAATTTTTTAAACTACATATACCCCATTGTAATTAGCACCTAATCATCCCGCACAACCAAATGACATCAATAAGTACATTCATAATCATCTGCAATATATAATCAGATCGGCCATAGGCAACACGCAGATGGACAACAACTTATTACACAAATTCATGGCTGCACAAGAAATGATGATCATTGATGCTACAAAAAGTCTTAGCACAAATGTAAATTACTGTGGTTAATGCAAAAAATCATTTATAGATTTTGGCATAATTTCTGTCAAAAAGAAACAACATATAGTCTGTGTTGCTTCGCACAGAGACGCGGAACACATCTCAGCGCGCAAGAGAAATAAAAGCCCTAACAATCAACTCTACAAATAAATCTAATGAATTACTCTTCCACGCAGCAGGCATAACGATTAATGGAAAGTTGTTCAAAGTTCCTTAACAATACACGAAAACCATAGCATTCTGAGGGCCAAGTTCTACTAATCTGGTACTTAGCAATTTCTCAAGCACTGCCAGAAAAAAACGAATCTCTTAAAAAAACACATCAAAGAAGTCGAACACAAGCTCAAATTATTTATCAGTTTAACCTCGCAGTACATCAAAAGAGGTTACCATGACTAAACGGTGGAGAACCGTACGAGCTAGGAGCCGAATTCTTCCAAAATCCGAAGTCCGTCTGCATCCCTAAAAAGCCCTAGTTGTATTTATACATACGATTACGGTTCATAGTGGGCCAACCAATCAGATCTAATATGTATTTTAAGAGTTTTAAAAGTATTTTTACTATTCATAAAATATATATTTTAAAAATGTTACATAAAATATTTATTTTGTAATTTTTTATACAGTATTATATTAAAAATCAAATTTATATTTAAAATATTACATTAATATTTATTTATATTACATTATTTATTATTTTAATTTAAATTTTTTACTATTTAAATTCTCAGCCAAAATTCAAATCTTCAAATAAACACACCCTAAATATAATATTTAAGCCAAATTTTTTATTTTTGTTTTAAATTATGAGGTATTCAACTATGATACTTTAAAAATAAATGAAATTTATTAGATTTTAATAAAAAATTATAAAGTATAAAATCTTTTTCAATAACTAAAAATTTGGATGGATTATTATTATTATTATTATTATTATTATTATTATTATTATTGTTGTTATTGTTATTGTTGTTGGTGTTATATATGTGATAAATAATATGATAATATTTATTAATATAATTATAATTTTTAATAAAAATAATAATTTAAAATTAAAATATATAATCAAATTATTCTTAATTTTTTTGAAAAAAATATATTTTTATATTATAAATATAATAGTAAAAAAATAATTATTATCATATTAAATATTTATTATTGTCGTCTTTTATTTCGGTTAATAAATACAATATAATATCATTATGGTGTCGTTTTCCATTTCAAATATCGAATACACTATATTCTCATTCCGATGATACTGAAATATATATATATTTATATATATATTTTTCATTGAATCGTTAGATTATATTTATTTACTTTTTATTTTAATATTTTTTATTAAAAATTTGTAAATTATGTTTTTTAGTATATTTATATATTTATTTTTTTGTAAAAAATTTATATAAATAATAATAATAATAATAATAATAACTAATAAAAATATATAAAAAAATAATTTGATATATTGAATAATAATATAATACTAAAAATAATAAAACTAAAAGATATTAATATACAATATAATATTGTTATATTTATATATATTACAATACTTCTACATATTAATAATTATATATTATTTAATAATATTGACTTTATTTAATAAATATATAATAACTTTAATTATAAATATATTCTATTTATAAAACTTGTGATTGATATAAATCTGTATAATTATAAAATATACTAATAAAAGAAATTATTCTACAATCCTATCAAATTCATATAAACTCATAAAGAATTCAATTAGATATTTAATTGATATATTTTTAAAAAAGTTAAAACCATCCAAAACCTTACAATTATACACACTTAGAATTTTTTCAGTTTTTTTTTTTTTTTATGGCACGATACCTCGAAAATATTACTTTAGTCTCATTTTTTTTAGTCTGTCCGCTAAATTTATCCCATTACAAATTTTGGGAAAGTCAACAAATCAACATTTAACTATTATCTTCCATTCAACACTTATTTATAATAAATGTCAATATTTTTATTACATTCTCTCCCCTTATTTTTTTTAATTTCTAACTTACTTTCTAAAAATACTTTCAATTACCTTTTTACTTTGATCACTTTTTCAATAAAATATTTATTATTTCTTAATCTCCATGTTGGACCCAAATGTTCTAATTTTTGCGGATAAAATGAGTATAAAATAAATATATTATGTACAAAGTTAACATAATATATACTTCTACTTCTTTCGCTCATCGCACTCAAAAGTATCTATTTTCTATTATAATAAAAATAATCACACACTAATACTAAAATATTTTTAATTTTTATATAAAGTACAAAATATTATTACATAGACAATTAATTTATACATTAAATACAAAGATAAAAATGTCAAAACTATCTTAGACACTTCTACTAACCAATAAATAATACTCCCAAAAAGATATTTTAGACCAAGTATTTGCATTTTATCAACTAACAAGAAGTCAATAATTCAATACAAAATATTACTCCCTCAGTCTCATTTACTATGTGCATATTTCCATTTTTGTCCATCCTACATATTTTGTCACTTTTTTTAAAAAAAAATATTATACACTTTAATCTTATTTTAAAAAAAAATTAATTTATAATTTTTAAAATTTTAATTAGATTCTTGAATTATATTAATCTTAATATATAATTATTTTTATTATACAATAATTATTTTTACTAATAAATTTTAAATTATTTATTAATTATATATTTTCTTAATTTCAGTGTCTACAGTCAAATCGACATAATAAACAAAACGGAAAAAGTATTATTTTTATATCAATGATACGACTGCTCATATATGACATAAAGAAATATATCCATAAAAAAAACAAAAAATACACTCATATTTTCTAAGGAAAATCATTACACTAAAATTTTATTTGAATTAAATTTTAAATAAATTTTAAATACAAATACAAATCAAACAAATTAAATAGTGTTTAGTTTTGATACAAAATATTAAATACAATAATCTCACACATAAAACATAAAGAAAAACAAACATTGTCATATTTAATTATTCCAAATAAAATTATTCTTCCCAGAGAGTAAATAAAATATTTCAGTCATATTATTTAAAATAATTCTCACCACAAGTAAATAAAATTGTTGTACTATTTTCTTTCCATAACCATATATCAATTTACTTATATAAATATTTGAATATTATTATTATATTAATATGTACTACAAATTAAAAATAAATAAATAAATATTATGTAATACAAATATAATAATATTTTATAATATATTATATAAATATAAATATATTTTTAATGTAAAAATAATAATATAAAAAATAAATATATATATATATAGAGAGAGAGAATATATAAAGGTGTATGTAAACATATTCCGTGTATATATAGATATAAATATTGTTAGATTATATGTAATATTGAAAATCGAGATGATTCAATTCGAAATCAAATAATAGATCTGACAAAGAACAAATTTGAGTTTCGCGTTGCACGCGATCTCCTTGAAGCAAATTCGACCCGCCATCGATTGCTTCTTAGGATAAAATGAATCGATTAGGGATTTACAATCCCACCATGAACCGAACAAAGAACCTATAGAAGTTTTTTGAGGAGAAATTAAAAGGAAAAAAGGAAAACAGAGAGTCGAGAGCATATTTGATTCATGTTGGGGTTTTTGTTGGTTGTGTTCTTTAATTTAAGAAGAAGAAGATTAAATCACGTGGCCACTAAAACCGTAACCACCTCCACATGTTCTAATATTTGTTGTAACGCTTTTTATTTTTCCTATTAAAATTTGAAACAGTCAAAATTAATTAATCAGATAAAATAAAATTTAAAATAATTGAAACTTTTCTGCGATTGGGCCTGGCCCACGAGCTCCCACAGCCCCAAGGCCCAAGGCCCAATCTCGACTCTCTCTCTAGATATATATATATATATATCTAATCTCAAACCCATGCCAAAGCCTAAGCCATTATCTCATCCAATCCATTCTTAATTGAACAATAAATGAGAGTAAGTGCTTATAAGAAGATGGTAGTTTGTTTGTTCTTATCATGTGGGACAAGACCATTTTTTATTTTTTATTTTTCTTTCTTTCTTCTCCTCTTTCACACACCAACAATCCCTCACATGAAAGAGGAAAGGACATTTACTTGATGAAAGAATAGCGAATTCTGCATAGGATAAGTAGGTTTCCTTTTGAACTTTCCTTGAGTAGTACGTAGGTTTACCAATTGTCCAGTGGATATGTTATCGTTGAACTGTTCAATTTCTTAGTAAATAAACTACATGCCAACATAGAATCCACATTTCTCATTATTTGGTCCATTTTGGCCATGAAACCCATCCTGGTTCTGCAAGAATTTTTAAAGAACTGAGATTGGGCAGTTCTCCTTTGAAGTGGCCTCACTTCTCTTTTATATAGGTGATCTTTCTAAGTTTTCGAGTAATACAATACTCACTTAGTAATCATTAAAGCACTTATTTGTTATCCTCTCTACTCTGCCACTATTCGTTTACAGGAATTGGTTGAGGCTATTAACCCTACAGTGACGCACATAAGTTTTATAGGAAGGTTGTCCCATTGAACGTAGTTCTTGGGATCTCCAATCTTTTTAGATTGAGTTTTCGTTTATAAAACTAATATTTCAATAGGCTTAACCCTCATTCCTCTAGTCAATTTGTACCACTGAATCATGATTTAACCATTTGGTTAGCGGATCCGCTAGGTTATCATTTGACGCAACATGATCTATCGTAATAACCTTAGTTGTGATCATTTGTCTTATGGAATTGTGTCGACGGCGAATATGTCGACTTTTTCCATTGTACATTGTACCCTCTGCTCTGCCAACAGCAAATTTACTATCTCATTAAAGAGTTATGGAAAAGACAGGTTTGTCCCATTTTGGAATGTCCTCAAGGAAGTGGCGAATCCATTCTGCCTCTTCTCCAGCTTTGTCCAAAGCAATGAACTCAGATTCCATTGTAGATTTGGCAATAATTGTTTGTTTTGAGGATTTTCAAGAGATTGTTGCACCAGCTAGTGTGAACACATATCCACTAGTTGATCTCGAATTAAGTGTGTCAGATATCCAATTGGTGTCTGAGTAGCATTCTACTACAGCTGGACGTCTGCTGTAGTGCAGCCCGTAATCTCGAGTACCTAAGTACACGAACTATGGCTTTCCAATGCTAGCGACTAGGATTACTCGTATACATACTTAGCTTGCTTATAGCATAAGCTATGTCGGGTCTAGTGCAGCTCATCCGGTACATCAAACTTTCAATTATCCGAGCATATTCGATTTGGGATACACCATCTCCACGATTCTTGGATAAATGGATACTTGTGTCCAGCGAAGTTCTCACTATTCCTGTATCATCCTTACTAAATTTTTCGAGAATTTTGTGTACATGGTGAGTTTGACTCAAAATTAGACCACTTCCTGTTCTGTTGATCTTAATTCCTAAGATCAGATCAGCGAGACCCATGTCCTTCATGTCAAATCTA